GTCTACAAGTTGTTGAGTCTCTCACTACTACATGAGGCTCATAGTGACCCACCTGTTTACAGTCTCCCAAGAGCTGCGATTACAGGCAGGAGTCTCCTTGCCCAATCTCAATTGCCATCTCAGGAAGCCCAGGGAGAGGGCCGGCAAGCAGGACCAGGGATAGAACCCACAACCCTTGTGCCTGCTTGCAGGCACTTTAACCTGCTGAGCTATTTGGCCAGCCCTCTTATGTATATGTTTGAAAATTTATTGTGTTACCTCTCATGTTTAGATCTGATAACATTTCATTAATTTTTCCCACAATTTTATTGAGAAATAAATAGCAATCAGACAGGTTCAAATCAAATTGTTAGGACAGTTCCAATAATTAAAGCATTGCATGATGCTTTCCTAGTGGTTATTTGTTGTACAAGATGCAGACAAGATATCCTATTTACAAACACTAGTAGAACAAATCCCTCTATTCCTTTAATTAAGAGAAAGTAGCTATATATCTATCCTAACCATTTGGAGTACACAGATACAAAATGGTCATTCATCTCTATCCCTTTTTTTGGTTTAGTTCCGTCATTTAAATATTACAGGTGTGTGAACTCAGCCAAATACTCCAAAATAGTCCAGTAGTCCATAACAGTATTGGGTCTTCCACTTGACTGACAATGTCAGAAGTTGTTGACCTGAGTCCACTACAGCTCAACATAGCAACATGATTTTACTTCGTATACATTGTTTTTATACTTTTCTGCTGGATGATTAAGACCAAGATAAATCAAGACAAATGTACTAAGAATTGTAGCTTTTGTGTCTGATAAGGTCAGTCAAATCCCCTTAGGATTTATCCTGAGACCCTGTTCCTCAGATTGTAGATCCTTTGTCAGTGTCAGCCATGTGGATGAGTCATGGCCATTGCTTGGCCAATGTGCTCTCTGTGAAAGCTGGAGAGAATGTTTTCTCTGCATGTGACTCTCCTTAGGCACACTCTACATCATCGATCACTTTCCTCTTTGGCCCCATAATCTCCTTGATCAGAAAATTTGGGACACAGCTAAATTACATGATGTTACAATACAAGTTCTCATATGCCCT